TGGACCACAGCAGCAGCTTGACCAGTCGCCTCGGTGTAGTCGCTCCCCTTCCTGCGCTGCGCCGTCAGCGTCTCCGGAAGGACGCAGCGGAGGCCGGGTCCGCCGGCCGCCAACGCGGCGAGTTCTCTAGCTGCAGAACGGCCGGACTGAACCCGCCGGCAAAGCTTAGAGTCCAGTAGGATTTGCAATCTATTTATGCCTTTTACTTTTGTAACAAAAATAAAGTTTCTCCTATTTACTGTACGCGAGCGATGTGGCTTCTGCTGTAGCAGGCCAGGGGCGTTGCTCCCTGCGGCTCGTGCCTGTGCATGCTCTCGCCGCGCGGGGTGGGGGAGCCGAGCCCCGGCGAAGCCGGAGAGGGTTTGCCTGCCTCTGCCTTTGGCTGTGTTGGCCACAAGGCCGGGAGCCAAGAACTCCCTAAACTCGGCTTTGGCGCTAACTGTGGCCTTAAGGCAACTCTCAGCCTTCCAGAGCTTTGCGTCCTCCTGCAAAGGGGAAAGGGCGCATGCCTCGCTCCGAGGACCAGGAGAAGGAGCGTGGGCAGCGCCCGGAGTCCGCTGGGCACCCCAGCACCCCTCCGCTTTTGTCACAGCAGCCTTTGGCCAAACTCGCCCCCCTCTGAAGGGCTGGGAGGACTCGAGAACGGGCAGGTTCTCCGCAGCCCTGGGAGCAGCTGGGCTGTTGAACTTCCTCCCAGCGCCCCCGGGGATGGTCACAAGCGTCTCGCTCGCTGCGTGCAATGACGGAGCTGCCCGGGGGCCCACCAGCCCCAGCTTGCCTGGAGCATCGCGGGGCGCAGCAGGGAGGAGACGCGTAGTGGCCCTCGGTAGCGTTTCCTGGGGGTTGAGTCCTTCGCCGGCCCCTCGCTGGCGAGGTGCACGTTGCAGCACGCTCTCCCACGCTCGGAGGTGCTTTCCAGGGTGAACTCAGCGCGCTAGTGCTAGAGCTGAGCTGGCCCTGCAGCCTTTGCCTGAGTGGCGCACATGGATCCGGGGCTCTTCCCTTCGCCCAGCCTCTTATTTTTCATGAAACCGGTAGAGCAGAATGTTTTTGCAGCCTCTTAGCCAATTTCAACCCGCTCTGGCAGCCGTTCAGCTCCTGTTGGCAGGGGCTAACGAGACACCGGAGCTACTGCTGAGCCGTTGGTTTGCTGGT